CAGAAGATGTTGAAGAGGATTGGGGAGAGGATGGCTCCTTGCGGGATACCGGCATTGATTATGAAAGGGGTTGAATAGGCTTTGTCGATTTTAATAGATATGGATCTGTTGAGGAAGTATTGTCGATGTGGAGTTCTAGTGGGTCTAGATTAAAGTCAGTGTAATAATAGTATTTATTTAACACTTAGATGCTAGTGATTCTTAATCTAGCTTCCAGTTGCTACAAGCATAGGTTGCTGGTCAAGAGTAGAGTCAAACTAGAACTGTTATTAGGACTAGGTTCTTCCTAGGACTCACATGAGTCTCCGACTAACTAGGACTAGGACTAACTTGAAATAACATAAGTGTCATCTTATATGTAAGAGGACGACCTGAATACAAAGTAATATTCTAAGGCTAGGGGTTAATTTGCCAAGTAGGAGGTACGTCATAGGCGCCGGCGGGAGTTTTTATGTCTTCCGCTGCCGATAAGGTCTAAAGGATGATATTCAATACAATTGTTTGGGAAAGTTAATTGTTCGTAGCGTAGTTTTTATAGTTGGCTGTCCGACTTTTGCATAATCCTCCTTTCGAGACTGTGACATAGGTGGGTCGTAAAAACTAGCAGAATATGAGAAACCAGAGATTTTCTATAAAAAGGTTTTATTGCACTATGCAACAATATAATATGAAATTTTTATAAGTTTTTCATAACGCAAAGTTGAACATTGTATGCTTTCTCGCAAGTATCTAATATCTTGTCTTCTGGTAGGCATTTGTCCAAAGTGACGATCGAAGCATTGTCTTTGAACATCGGTTTGAGTTCCTCCATTTTGAGAGTGTGGTCATCGTTCAATACTTTGAACTTATTGAGCATACATAAAGTGTGGCATTTGAGCTCTTCGAAGCTCGGAAAAACGGTGACGCTGTCTAAATGCATCAAATGCTTTACATCTACTTTCTCGGTATTGGCGCATTCGAGCCTTGCATCAGCAATTTTTTGAGTAAATTCCGGCGAGTAAAACTAAAATATACAAATCGCATAAACAAAAATTATGTTTTAAATAATATTTCACTTACTATTTTTTCGCTGTGAGCAAAAGCCACGAAAAGGAGAACTGCTGCAATAACTTTCATGATGCTCTTCCTTTGATTTTGAAAACTTTACTGTCTCTCTACTTCAGGGCAATTTATATTTAAAGCAAAAGCAATTATCGGATTTACAAAAAAAAATTATCGTAAACTTTGCGTAATTTATCTAATGATGTTATTAAAAAAATATTTCTTCTTTGGTTACCACTTTGCAAATATTATTTATTTTCATACGCAATCATCGTGTATAATTTGTAATAAAAAACTATAAATCTTATTTAAATAACCTAAATATAAACAACTATCAACAAATTTTAGTGAGATTAGAGGCTGAACTTTGACCACATAGTTATGAATTTATATTTTATTATTATTTCAAGCCTTTCATATGATTAAAAGTAGATTTCGATACAGGAAACAAAAGTTTTTCAACCAACAACGAATTGAAGTGTGCCATTCGTGGTGTGTGCTTCATAAACTGCAATTTCCGAATAACGAACAAAAAGTGGATAATCCACGTTTTAAATCATTTATCATCAGAAGACATATAATAACTCGCTAACAATCTGCATAAATGAATTGACCAAGACATTCGACGTAGTTTTTAAATGTATGTGCAAAATTGCATTAAACAATAATCTTTTTTTTTTACAAAGAATGTAAATAACTAGCCAAGTTCAAAAGTTTCCTATAAAAATATTAATAAATTTTTTAACACTTTATACAAATTTGAAAATTCGAAACTTTACTCAATTTAAAGTAGACCGAAAGTTTATTATTAGAGGACAAAGTATAATAAACAACAGATACTGAAAAAAAAAGTTGAATATTCTATATTAGTACTACAAAAGTATTATTTACTTGCAACGAAATGTATAAATCACTTTTTTTATATGTTTTTAAGAACGCAACGATGAGCATTGTATGCTTTCTCGCAGCTATCAAATTTCTTGTCTTCTGGTAGGCATTTATCCAAAATGATGAGAATATTCTTCAAAGTATTGTCTTTGAATATCGGATTGAGGTCTTCCTTTTTGAGAGTGTGGTCATCGTTCAATACTTTAAATTTATTGATCATACATAAACTATGTCATTTAACCTCTTCGAAGGTCGGAAAAACGTCGATGCTGTCTAAACGCACCAACAGTTTCGCATCTACTTTCTCAGCATTGGCGCATTCTAACCTTGCATCAGCAATTTTCTGAATAAATTCCAGGGAGTATAACTAAAATATACAATTTGCATCAACAACAATTGCTTTTTAAATAATATTTCACTCACAAGTTTTTCGCTGTGAGCTAAAGCCACGAAAAGGAGAACTGCTGCAATAACTTTCATGATGCTTTTCTTCTGATTTTGGATAATTGACTGGCTCTCTATTTCAGGAGAATTCATATTTAAAGCGAAGGCAATTATCAGATGCAAATTGTGTAGTTATCATACTGGTTTTAGAAAAAATAATAATCGCAACCAGTGCATAATCTGTTTAATGATGTTATTTAAGTATTTATTTCTTCTTTGGTTACATAGAAACATTGTAAATATTATTCATTTCGATACAAAGGATGATTAATAGCCGAATGGTTACGTTGCCCTACCCACGATTTCTTTGGTGTCGATTCGAATCCTGGTCAAGCCAGGACCTTTGTGAGCACTATCGGTACTTGCAGCAATAGGGCTATCGTTCATCACAGATGGACAGTGAAATGAATGAGGTTCAGCATATGGACCTTCAGACAAGTCGATGGACAATGATTATTTCCAGACTTATGTCATATGATTAAAGGCAGTGGCGTAGCAAAAGATGTGTAATGTTTATGTTTTCATAAAATTTGCGCATTCGATTCTAGCATCTCAACAAACTCCGGTGAAAAAAACTAAAAATATTGAAATCGTTTAAAGAATATATGTCACTCCTAATAGAATCCGTACAACCAGTCGAAATGACAGATGTCATCAAGAACTTGAAACGTACTAAGGCTCCTGGTTACGATCTGATAACGGGAAGGATGATGAAGGAGTTACCCAGAAAGGCAACAATTCTACTCACAACAATTTTCAATTCCCTCCTGAGAATTGGTTATTTTCCCTTCCAAAAAAACACATTGTATATTCAATATTATTTCAACAAAAGTATTATTTATTTGCAACAAAATAAATAAATCACATTTTTATAACTTCTTAAGAACGCAACGATGAGTATTGTATGCTTTCTCGCAGGTATCAAATTTCTTGTCTTCTGGTAGGCATTTCTCCAAAGTTACGAGAAAATTCTTCAAAATATTGTCTTTGAATATCGGGTTGAGTTCCTCCATTTTGAGAGTGTGGTCATCGTTCAATACTTTGAACTTATTCATCACACATAGAGTGTGGCATTTAAGCTCTTCGGAGGTCGGAAAAAAGAGGATGCTGTCTAAACGCACCAACTGAATTATATCTACTTTCTCGGTATTGGCGCATTCGAGCCTTGCATCAGCAACCTTTTGAAAAAATTCCGGCGAGTATAACTAAAAAAAAATACAAATCCCATAAACAACAATTATTTTTTAAATAATATTTCACTTACAAGTTTTTCGCTGTGAGCTAAAGCCACGAAAAATAGAACTGCTGCAATAATTTTCATGATGCTCTTCTTCTGATTTTGAAAAATTGACTGTCCTTCTATTTCAGGGGAATTTATATTTAAAGCAAAAGCAATCAGATGCAAATTGTTTTTTTATTTTGCAGCTGTGCAATTATCATACTCTTTTTTTTAAACAAAATAATCGTAAAGAGTACGTAATCTGCCTAATGACAAGGCCAAAAGGTACCTCTCGCACCCGTACTTCTGCATTTTTTCAATCATACTTGACTGGTAGGTACTTTAAGATCAAGTACAATGATGAGGTGACCTGCCTAAGACCTGTATTTCTTCTTTGGTTACAACTTTGCAAATATTATTTATTTTCATACGCAATCATCGTGTATAATTTGTAATAAAAAACTATAAATCTTATTTAAATAACCTAAATATAAACAACTATTAACAAATTTTAGTGAGATTAGAGGCTGAACTTTGACCACATAGTTATGAATTTATATTTTATTATTATTTCAAGCCTTACATATGATTAAAAGTAGATTTCGATACAGGAAACGAAAGTTATCCAACCATCAACGAATTGAAGTGTGCCATTCGTGGTGTGTGCTTCATAAACTGCAATTTCCGAATAACGAACAAAAAGTGGATAATCCACGTTTTAAATCATTTATCATCAGAAGACATATAATAACTCGCTAACAATCTGCATAAATGAATTGACCAAGACATTCGACGTAGTTTTTAAATGTATGTGCAAAATTGCATTAAACCAATAATTGAAATCATTTTTTTTTTTTACAAAGAATGAAAATAACTAGCCAAAAGTTTCCTATGCAAATATTAATAAAAATTTTAACACTTTATACAAATTTGAAAATTCGAAACTTTACTCAATTTAAAGTAGATCGAAAGTTTATTATTAGAGGACAATGTTTAATAAACAACAGATACTGAAAAAAAAGTTGAATATTCTATATTAGTACTACAAAGGTACCTCTCGCACCCGTACTTCTGCATTTTTTCAATCATACGTGACTGGTAGGTACTTTAAGATCAAGTACAATGATGAGGTGACCTGCCTAAGACCTGTAGTGTCTGGACTTCCACAGGGAAGCGTGACTGGACCACTCTTATACCTAATCTTCACAGCAGACCTGATAACATCACAGCAGACTACTGTAGCCACGTTCACGGATGACACTGCGGTCTTGGTATCTCATAAGAATGCAGCAATGGCATCGACAATTCCGCAGGAAAGCCTAAATAACATCAACGACTGGCTGAAGAGGTGGCAAATTAAGGCTGCCCACCGGTTACCCTGAATGGCGGCAGGTGGATGAAGCCAAATACCAAAAGGAAACAAACTCTCCATCTAACAAATAGTCATAAAACCGATCTGGACCTACGGTATTCAACTGCTTGCAACTCTAGCATAGACATCATCCAGAGATTTTAGTCAAAGACTGGGCAATTGACCAGTTCTTCCTGGTTCACCACCAATGACTATATCCACCAGTACACTGGTATTGCCTTCGTTAAAGAAGAGATTTAAAAAGCCAGCACCGAATATCGTCTTCGGCTGGAGGATCATCCGAATCAACTTGCTGTAGAACTGAGCAACACAGATGGCAATCTACGCAGACTGAAACGATTTCAACCTCACGATCTTCCTACTCGTTTATAATGTAATGTGATGTACTTTTACTTGTTTATATTTTATCAGTGTAGTTTGGTCATTGGATCAATGTGTAATATTGTTTATTTCATTTATATTTAGCCATAATTAAAGCTTATTATTAATTTTCTTTGTATAGTAGTAGATTGCTTGTTGTAAATAATAGAAAAAGGCTTCTTTGATTACATAGAACCGTAAATATTATTTATTTTTATACACAATTATCGTGTATAATTTATAATAAAAAATTGATATTTACATAATCTAAATATAAACGACTATTAACGACTCTCAGAGAGATTAGGAGCTGAACTTTGACCACAAAGTTATCTATTTATATTTTATTATTATACATAATATGATAAAATGCAGTGGCGTACCAAAAGATGTGCAATGCTTATGGGTTCTTTGAATGAGCAGCAATTTATGTTTGTTATCTGGAAATTTAAAATGAATCCTGTTAAAATTAATCATACAGTAACAGCTGCAAACAAAATCACGCACTTTTTGTAGAAAAGTAGAAACCTCTGAAAGGGACCACGGCTGGAATGGAACCGTGGTACTGTGCGATTCTTACGCAACTAAAACCACTCCTCTCTCAACCAGCCTTGCAGGACGCGGAAATTAACCAATTGCTGTCCGCAAAGGTCTGGTGTGTCCTCGCGCACATGTTGCGCGCTTTCACACTGCTCGCACTCACGTATTGTGGTCACTCGAGCACTTTGAACTTCCAGAGCTTAGTTTTCCTCCCGTTGTATTTGTCTTTCAACGGTTTCCTTCTGCTTGAGAATGGATGTGATAAAACCGGCCACCACGTTCCATTTCTCCTGGTTTTCTAGCATGATGCTAACCAAGTTTTTCGGTTCAAGGTCCTCGCCTAGTTTTGCCTCAGTGTCTTGCTTCCTCGTCGCCCAGCGGTGGCATCTGAAGAAGGTGTGTTCGGGGTCGTCCTC